GGGGGGGGGGGGGCGTGTGCAGTTTCCGGGTTTGGTGTGCTGTTTGGGGTTTAAGTGTCCGTGGCTTCGGGTTGTGTAGTGAAGGGCGCAGGCTGCCGGATTTAGCATTTTCGGATTCGGGAGTTTAGGGTCAGGGGTTTAGGGTGTAGGGTTTGGGGTGTAGGGTAGAGTTTAGGGTTTAGGGTTTAGGGCTCAGTTTTGAGTCACGGATCGGGGTTTGGGGCTTAGGCATTGGATGATCGGTTCGTGGCTAAGGTTGTACATTGGGCTTCGGGCTTACGTACGATCTGCAAGAGGCACTTTCGAAGGAAAAGAGGTTCAGGCTCAGGGTTATTACCTTAAACTACCAAACCCTACTTTTTTGTAGGTTCTTATTTCAAACTCTAATAGGGAATTTATAGGAATCCTCCCAAAAAAGTAGGTTTTGGTAGGTTAAGGTGGGTTTACTAAACCCTAAACCCCTCATGGGGATGAAGGATTAGCCTGGAACGGCCCGTTTGCCTGCCAGGGGCGAGGAGTGTAGATCGGATGGCCTTTATAATTATAGAATCGGATTTGGGGGGTATATTCTATTAAAATTATAATAAGGAGCCCCCCAAAACCTTATTCTAGTTAATTAAGGCCCCTACATTAGATCGGAGGCTTTACGGTTTCTTCGGGCTTACCTGTGACACGGCTCAGAGTAGCTGGAAAGTCTCATGCAATTTCGAAAGCCTTCGTGGACGAGTCTTTAGATCCCAGGCAGGCCGTGGTTTTTGAAATTTAGGGGTTTAGGGTTTACCCAAGGGCTCCTATGTAGTTCCTTTTTGGGTAGTATGCTATAATTCCTTACCAAGAAACCATAACAGACCCAAAAAGGAACTACATTGGAGCCCCTGGGTAGGGAGCCCTCCGAACTCCTGGATTCTGCAGCTCTTTGAAAAATCACAGGTCGGGTTTAGGGTTTAGGGTTTAGGGTTTAGGGTGCAACTCTTTGAAACATCAAAGGTCCTCGAAGCAGGCCTTATAAACCCACAAACCTTAAAGCCCTCAGACCCCACGTCCTATGCCCTGGCTTGCTCCCAACATCCTGACCTGACCTAAAGCCAAAATCCTGAGCCCTCGAACCCCAAACCTTACGTCTCCTGGCCCGAAATCCTAAGCCCAGCAGCAGAGCAGGTGGTTTAACCGTTTTGAGTACTATAACCCCTAGGGAATCCCCCAAAATTATCCTAGGGTTTAGGGTTTAGTGAACCGATATAGCAAGCCTTAAACCCCAGATCCCCGACCAAACCCTTATCGCACACTTTGCAGATCCCCTTCTAGGAACCCTTAACAGACCCTTTTAGCGACTCTTTTAGGCAGCCTTTTTCCCTAAACCCTAAACCCTACCTTCACCTACCAAAACCTAACTTTTTGTAGGGTCCCTATAAATTCCATATTGGGATTTATAATAGAAACCTACGAAAAAGTAAGCTTTGGTAGTTTAAGGTAGACCGGTAAGAGCCCTAACTGAAGCAGGTCGTGTCAGCCGATTCCGAAGGCTTCGTGAAGACCTGGGACCTGGGTACCTACCAGCCAGGATCCCGAGTTTAGGGATTTAGGGTTTAGGGTTTAGGGGTTTAGGGGTTTAGGGGTTTAGGGTTGAGGGTTTAGGGTTTAGAGTTTAGGGCTTTAGGAGCTACCCAGAGGCCCCATAGTAGTTCCTTTTTGAGATTACTTTATAGGATTCTATATATGAACCCCAAGAAAGGAACTACTTGAGGGCCTACGGGCATGGTTTAGGGTTCACCTGGTAGGGATTCGCCGGATTTAGGGTTTAGGATTTTGGAGTTTGGAAAAATTGCAGGTTCTTGTTGTAAAGCTCAAAAGTTTGGGAGAAATCGGGTTTAGGTTTCGGGATGTAGAGGGCATTGGTGTTGAGGCCCTAAACCCCTAAACCCTAAACCCTAAACCCCGTAGCACCTTAGGCTCTTGACTTCAAAGGTTTTCTGGCTTTGGGTGTAGAGCCTTCGGGGGTTTTGTGGTGTGGGATTCCGGACTTACGGTGAAGAATCGGCGGGCACTGAGTATTGGGTCTAGGGT